GAAAACAATTGAATAACAGCGCCTAATTACATTTCCTATCTTCACGATCTTGGCTGGAAACGTTCCCTGCAGAAAATTTTGCCGGAACTAAACGACTACTTTGTCAACGACAATTGGAGTGAGTCTGACGATTATGAGACGAACCAGCCTTCACGCTTTTTAACAAACGTTAGTTTCTCGCGGCTTAAACACTCCGAATGGGCGAACTTGATGTTTAGTCCAACAGGAACACTGCGATGGAAACATCATTCTCTATCGTCCATCTTTCAAAATGATCATTCGCGCGTCTCAAATATTCCTCGTCTTCGTCTTATCTGCGAGTTCGATTTACACCGACGATAGCAAAGGATCGAAAATCAAAGATCGAATGAAACCGGTTAAAGGATTTATCGAAGAATCCTCAAGTGAAAATCAAGTATCAACGACTACCGAGTCTACGACGACAGCAGAGGAGCTGACTTCGCCTGTCAATGTCTCCAGTGACTTCAGACCGAGTGTGCACTTGGGCGAAATCAAAGAATCGAGGATCAACACCAGCCCGTTCAACGATCTCCAACATTTTAAGATCTCCAACACGATAGATCCTGACTCGCTTCAGGAACACTTGAAAGACTACCGAGTGATTTTCCAGCCCAACATTCAAACCCTGACGGAGCCAGTAAATTTCCAAACGGATCTGATAAATCCCCATCAGATTGCGTTCCAAGGACCTTCGGAAGAAGAGAGAAATAACGCAGCGCTGCAGAATAATTACGTAAAATTCGAGAACGAAGCATCGAACGTTCAACACGGTTCGAAGGATCAGAATTTTCAACATTTCGATCCCACGGTGGAAAACGGAGCTCAGTACGATTTAATGAATCAACCGGTTTACCATAATCAAGCTTTCGATCAGGAAACGTATTTGGGGAAACCTTCTAAGTTTCAAGAAGAGAAACCTCCGGCTAACTCAAACGCTGATCGTCTAAAACTGCATAATACAGATCATCAGTATCGCCAGCCAGGCACGCAGAACGTTCATTTCGCCAATAACCCAAGCAATGGGATGGTTTACGTTCAAGAGTCATCGTTCATGAGAACCAGGAAGTTCCCGTATTCAATGTGGCCTCAGTTTCATCCAGAGTTCAACGATTCCTTGCATCCCGTCAGAAAAAAGTAGGCATTTCATAATATATTAATAAACAATTAATTAATAATGAGCATAAAATCCGGCGGCCGGTTCTTTTTTTATTCTATTAATTTTTAGAACTTCCCCGTGGAGGAAGATTCTCCATCTGATCGGCGCGTTTCTGCCCCTTGGCCTGCTCATAGCCGCCCTGACCCCGAACGTCGTCAAGGTCGACAACGCGACGTGAGCATAATTTTATTTCCCTCGCATGTAAGCTCGTTGAATATTCTAATCACGGACCCGTGCAGCCAGCCAAACATCGTCCTGTCCAAGTGGAGGGTCGCTGACCTGCCGGCCGAGCACAAACGGGCGCGGTTCACGGATACCTGCGAGGAGAGATCGATCTGCGAGATGATCTTGGCCGGTGGTGACGCCGGCTCGACCGCGTTGCAAAACATCCTGTGGAACCTAGCCACGAGGTATCCAATTGTTTCTTTTCTTTATCATCAGATCTTTAGACGAGGTTAAATATTTCTGCCATTTACACCGTAGATTTTATTAGATACAACAGCAAAACGAATATTCAATGTTAATTAATTAAATGATCGGAATTTCATTTTTTAAATTGACACCCTGCGTTCCATTTTGCATACAAAAAATCTGCATACTAATTACGAAGCGAAAGGGTAAATGTTACGATTTTTAGAACATCGTCGACGATGGCTGAGGAGAGCGGCCTGCTGGAAATTTTCGAGTCGGTGAAGAAAAAGGATTGCGACAACGTCCCCTGCTAATCTCACGGTTGAATCTCGCCACAAGGAAATCGTCAGACGACGCGACGTCACGCATGCAACGATTCACCCATCAACGGCGATGAAAAGATTCGAGCCTGCTGATGTGTCCAACTTTCTTCAGACGGAATATAAACGCAGGAACGAAGTCGTAGAAACCCGGTTGAAAGTAGCTAATTACGTATTTGTTCCGGCTCTATTGACACTTTTATGATTAGAAAATAATCCGAGATAGCGATCGCGGGTATCGTGCGCTCGCTCGTAACATCACAATTAGCGGTTCGCACGAAAGTTAATTACAGACATATGTGAGATCATTCCTGTTACCCTGTTTCCATTAAGTAGGAAATGGTTACAAACGTCGTTGACATCATTTTTACATAGAATCTTCATTGTAATCCTCGAGTCACTTACGAAATAAACTGTTTCGATTTAATTATAATTTATCTCTCATTGAAATC